TGTGTGAGAGAGAGAGAGAGAGAGAACAATATTTAAAACTCTCTTTTAAAATGCAGGCAATCCATGTTTAAAAAAAATAAAAATCCTAAAGGAAAATGTAATGTTCCAGTTGGAATTACTTGTTTACTGCTCCAAGATTTCTATAAAAGAAGAGATGGGACAGAAAATTCTAAATTAACATTATAGATCACAAAATATTTGAAAGAAAATGTCCTTACTGTATGTACAATTTGAGAATATGCACTAAAGACTAGACTACAATCATGAGATTATACAGAGAAATAATAACAAGAAATAATAAAGTTTAAGTAGCAATCAAATACCTAGTGCAAGATCCTGCCTAAACCTTTACCTATTTCTACATAACAATAGAAGACCCTTGAAACAGTTGTTTCTTCTGGAAATTCTTTTTTTTTCCTGGAAATTCTAGTAAATCAATTCTGAGGCTATGTGAAGATTTTCAATCCCACTCATTTCTTCTTCAGTCCAGCAACTTCTCTGTTTTCTCCCATTCTGCTCTAGTTCTAAAAAAATACAGATTTTCCCTTCCAGGAAGGGTTGGTGGGATTTCTCAATGCCAAAATAACATACTTGTGTGTGAGTGTGTATTCAGACTCAGACCCTGTCTACTTGTCTGGGAATATAAACTTGATTTTTTAAAAACCCCAAACAACTATGTTTAAACAACTCTGCCATTAAACAGAAATAAAGATTTTTATTTGTAAAGATGTTTATTATCTGCTTGCAAATAATGCTAGGCTGTTAAATTTCTCATTCCAACAAAGTCAGCACCAGTGTTCCTTCTATTCTAAACCATAATATATATATATATATTTTTTTCAACTGCCAACTTTAAAGACAAGAGTTTCCCCAAGTAGCTTATACCTCAACATCACAATATAGAGTCTTGTGAAAAAGAAAGTACATCCTCTTTGAGTTCTATGATTTTACCTATCAGGACATAATAAAAATCATCTGGTCCTTAGCAGTTCTCAAAAGAAGGTAAATACAAC